AATATTTAATTCTTTTTAAATTTCAGAGAAAAATAAAAAATCTAAATATAAAATAATAAACACTTTCTTTTACAGGCAACAGAGTGGTACCAAAAAAATCGTATCTTTTCTTTATAAAAAAAAATCGATTGAAATTGGCAGCTGCAACTCGTTACGAGTTAGAGATCATATGTAAAAAAATCTATTTACACCATGAAATTTCATCAATTAAATTGTTATCAAAGTAGTAGGTAGAAGTTGGATTCTAGTCGACAAGAGCGACTACTCGGTCATTGTATACTTGCCAAAGTCAAGGTCGTCCAACTTGCCATTGTAAGGTCAAGTCGTCATGTTTACAATGTCAAATCGGAACTGTAATTCACGCGATGCTGCACACACGCACATGCTCACGCACTAACATTTCCAACGAACTTACGACATTGTTCGTAGCTAAAAAAAGGCAAAGCATCCCAGCGTGACTGAATAACCTCGTTAAAAAATTCTACGACAAAAAGTTAGGTTAGATTAAAACCGAGCCGAATAACAAGCCGGCAACTGCACACAGTGTTGTGCAATTATACTTTCGATACTTCTGCAATACTTTACGCGGTATAAACAACTTTCTCAGATTTTATTTGTCGCGAGATTGCAAAGAATAACAATTGCTGACAATGTAATTACCTATCATCAAATCTTGGAGTACATGTGTTAACAACGAGCTTATGCTCGCTTAACCTTTCGCTAGCGCGTAATTTCGCCTACTATCTAACGTATCTGACATCTTATTGCTGTTACTGTATTCTACCCACTACCCGGCTATCGTGTCATAATCACACGCAAAAAATAATGCACGACATTACCACTAGCGCTTCGCGTCTAAATGTTACCAACTCTGCACGAATCACTACCAACGTGACGTAGAAAATATATCTTAACTATGTTTTGAATTTCGCGGTTCTGCATTCCAATTATCGGGTCATAATAATACGTATTCATACATATAATTTAGAAATGTATAATTTTAAATATTTTCGAGTTTATGATTTTTTTTTATTATGAAGCATTAAATATTCAGATATAATATCATTGAAAGTAAAAGCAATATTACTTGAAAAAATTTAACATTTTAACTAACTAACACAATGAAAAAAAAGGTATTCAACACAAAATATAATTAAAAATTGTAATCATCTAAAGGACATAATTATGTAGTCCATCATTATATTTTTTTTTTCATGACTTATGTTCCTCTAGAAACTGTTTTAAAAGTCCATTACTTAACGGGATCATAAGATGTTCAACGCTATCTATGTTGCGTTTTATTTTCACTAATTTGTGATCTATAAATTCAGTCAACTGTGCTCTTAACGCTATATCTGAACTTACAAGAAATCCTTCGCGAGCAGCTCGATAAAGATCTTTGAACGCCATTCCTATTAATAAAAATAAATATTCTTTAAGTTATAACTTATATCCAATTCTACATACAATTGCATTTCTTCAACTAATTTCTAATTACCAGTGTAATTAACATTACTGCAATTTTTTAATTGGTACTCAGCAAGTAGGATGTAGATTGACTTAGCATTCGAAGTTAAAGATAAGAAAACGTTATGAAGAGATGACAAAGCAAGAGCACTACTTTGTTGTACCAAAAGTGAACCTTCATAAGATGTTTCTTCTTGATATGGCAAAAATGTTGTTGTATCCCACCAGAAGAAATTGAATTTAGAACGTTTTGTGTGATCCCATACTATAAATGCATACAAAAAAATTATGAAAATACAATGATTTAATATCAATACATTACGTAATTGATCATACATAAAGGTGCGTTGATGTGATCAACTGATGCTAAAACACAGAGATTCGGTATGTTTGCAAGAGAAGACAGCAAATCTTGAGCTTTACTCGAACGTAACATTAAGCCATCTATATTATGTATTAACAAATAAAGTCTATCTTCCGGATTCTTTTTCAGAGCTTTTTCAATAAGTTCTATACAACTTTCCGCCGATATTACTAGGGCTATGTAACTCCAACAAATCAACAATTATACCATCTAAAATCTGAAATATAGTATTGTTAATTATAATATTGTTTAACTATTTACATTTCAGCAATATTTATATAACTTACTTCTTTCGTAGTTAAACTAGGGAAAAAACCATTTACTACTAATGATGGATGATAAGATATACTTTTATGAAAATCATTAATTAAACATCTTTTTGATCCCAAACCATAAAGTAACACAGTATAACCCTGTCTATAATATAGTAAAGAAATTTTATTTAATGAAAAATCCATATATTTTAATACTTCACTTTTAATACTTACTCCATAATGAAATACCACATAGGAAATAATGTGGTATAGCTTTTAGTTATTGAATAAATATTCTTTGTATGCTGTGTGGATACATAATTTTGATTTGCTAATAATTGCTCCAAGTTTTCTTTTGTTAAACGGGAATTACATAAACGTTCTAATGTCCTATCAGATGTGAGTACTTTCTCTGATTGTGTTGCAAAGTATTCATCAGTTTGCATGTGCTTTAAATATGTAAAAAATATCAATGAATAATTTATTTACATCATATCCATTTATATTTACTGTTGCTAACTTACAAAGTCTTTATGAATAACTGCAGGTTTATTTCCTCTATTTATTCTTTTTGGTGTACTCAATAAATTTGAATGCAACATAAATTTTTGTTTTTGAACTTTTCTTTCAGTTTTATCCATTTCATCATTACTGGACACTGCATTCTCACTACCATCTGTTTTATCTTCACTATCATCATCGGATGGTGCATACTCACTGGGTTCTGATATACTTTCACTTTCACTTAAATTTAATTCAGCTTTATATTTACTCCTAACATGAGGAACTAATTTGAAGTTTAAACTATTAGTATTATATTATGATTAATATTGAAAGAACAATATATTATTTTACAGGTAATTAAATAAAGCCTTACCTTTTGAACTAGACTTTTTTTCAAATGATTCTAATAGATCTTTACTATTTAGTTCTACTCTTTCAAGCATAACTTTAGGTATCAATGGCTTTTCTTTTCGTGTACTAACAGGTGTATAGCATAAATGTGCCTTATGCATCATTGAATTTCTTTTACCAGGTGTTTCAAATTTATACAATGCTTCACCACTTACATCCTCATTTGAAAATAATTCTAAATAAATAATATATACTTCAATTGTTAAGAAGTTATATAGATTCATGAAATGTTCAAGTCAAATGTATTACTGAAAAATTACCAACTGGTTTTTGTACATTCTCTTCTATATTTTTAAGTTCATCCTTCATCATATTTAACTTATCTATGCAGCTTTTCTCGTCATCACCTGTGGACGTCATCCCCTTATCATTTTTTACACTTTTTCTTTCTAAAATAAAAAATATTCAAAAATAAACAGTACATCAATTTCAATGATTAATGTTACTATTATGTATATTACGTTTTACGCGGGATTTTATTCGAGATGACCGACGTAGATTTTCAGTAGCAGACATTTTGTACGTTTTATACTTATTTTAAGCTCAAATGCATGAAAAATGTACAATACTTTCAAAATAATGTAACTGGCGTCTAAAAAATAGGCGCTTTTAATCAAAATTAATCAGTGACATTAGTAAATCTAGAACAGCCACTTTCCTTAATTATTTTGAACTGTTAAATCCGTTGCGCCATCATACGGCGAATATTATTTTATTTAAGGGACAAATACTATTTCATTATGAATACAGTGTAGTCGTTATCATAATAAATTTAATTGCTTCTTGAAATATTTATCATATCGCTTACTGTATAATTTAAAATTAGAAAATTTCGAACGAGTACACTGCGTATATAATTGTAAACTGCACTTTATTCTCATGCAGTCAGTAACTTTGAAAAATATCCTTAACAATGATTAAAAACAACTATTGTAAGAGTGTGAACATGTAGAATATTGTAAAACACGTGATATAGTTGATTCCAACCTATGAATTAAAAGTGTTTGTTTTTAATCGTATCGTGCTGTTACTATTGTGTACTGGATGGACTATGGAAAAACATACAGACTGAGAATTTGTGCATGCTCTTTTGTGCTTAGTTTCATGTACATTTATACAACGATATAATTTTAATATTTCGTTCAAATCATATAAATATATCGTACTCCAATTAAGCTTTTCAAATACAGTTAGTAAATCAAGATTAGATAAATTGTATTTGTATTGTTAATGGCTGATTATAATATTTAAATGATTTAACTAAATTTACTTCAATAAGGACCAATTTTTATTTTATTTTGTGGAGTAATAGTAAAGGAAAATATCACTTCATGGTATTGTCAAATATGACTGATTTAGAAGGAGAAGATACTTTGACTCAGTTAAATACTCAGTTAAATAAATCTATGATTCTAATGGATACTTCAATTAAGATGGAGTCACCTCAGCCAAAAACTAATAGGTCCATAAAAATTAATACAAAAGTTCAATCAGCCAGTCCTCATAATGGTTCTCCTAAACCCAGGAAAAGTATTTTGAAGAGTGCTGAGAAAAAAAACACGATAAAGGTAGAGCCCAATACAGAAAGCCCAATACAAGAAACATCAAAAACAAATCAAAGAATGTTAAAGAAAATAGCTCCTGTTAGAAGACCGCATAATGTAAATGAAATTTAATTTATAAATTCTTTCTTACTAATTTTTATATAAGATTACTTTATGAATTTTATTTTAGATTACTGATTTGGTAGAAGAGGAAGGTTTAATTAAAGAAACTACAAATTCTACACTATGCTTAAGTGATCTATCTGATAGTGAGGACATATGGATTATGGATATACCTAGAACAGTGAGTTGAGTGTACTTAAATACTTAAGATAATAGCAAAATAATAACATGTTAATATTATAAGTATTGTACAATTTATAGATAGACCCCAGAGAACTTAAAGGTCAGACATTAATATTTGGAGAGAAATCAAAGTTTAAAGTTAATAAAGAAAGATACTATGCAGTGAATCATGAAGTTAAATGTAATATTACTTGTGTACTTAAGACTGACAAAGCAAAATCCCAATATAAAACTGGTAATATATTTTTTATTTAATTAAATATAATTAGTCATTTTTTCTAATATTTTATCTTTCTTTGCACAGTTAATATAAAACCAGCAGGTTCATTCACCGTTAGACGGAAACTTTCAAGTGTTTCAAAAATGAAACCAATGAAAATAGAAAATTATAGTGTGCCATTTCCAAAAAATTTGAGATCACGGCATCCATTGTTTGGTGTAAGTTACGAAGGTAAATTTAGAAGAGTGCAATAATTCTTTCAAAATAGTTCATCTAAAAACAAATGATGAAAACAGGACAAAAGAATATTATACATTTTGCTTGCAAATTATATATTATGAGTAAATTGTACATTGCCTTATTCCTATCTACTGATGTCGTGGTTTTTTATAAGCAATCAATTTAATAGATAAAGTAAACAGGGATAGGGCATAATTTTACTTCTTTTAACAAACGCAAAGTAAAATGTAAGATTAGAATTGGATTTTATAAAATAAAATATTCGATACAATACTCGATCTTAAGTTATCACCTAAAATTGACAAAATGTTATTGTTCCCATATAAACGAAAAATTTAAGTTCTATGAATTATGCGTTTAATTGATTTAAATAATTTTGAAGGTACAAAATCCGTCCAATGAGAACGTACCCTATTTTATCTAAAGCTAGTAATATTCGTTCTCCAATGTTGGTGCCAGTGTGAAATCGGTCACTGATTATTTCCGAGTGCGCGGTAAATATGAAATAGACGAAACAGTGAATATAAAAATTTGTGATATAACATTGAATACTGTAAAAACGTTTGTTAAATAATCATTATACGTTGCGCATAAATATGGATTTATAAAACTGAATAAAAAAAATGTTGAAGGTAAAAGTTTTGACGCTTGTAATAACGTAATCGAAGTTTTGGTTGACATGCGCTTTCAGAATCTTTACCTATGCGCCTTTCTTTAAATACCAGTGTATGTAATGTCCGCTTCTGCGCAGTCGCGGTGCGCATGCGACCAGATCTTGAAGACTGTACAAAAATTTCCCAGTACAGAAAAGAGATTTGTTAGTGGAAAAGTTGTAACGTAAGTAAACAAGAGCCGAGAAATTCGGATTGACGAATGCGCGAACTTAACTCTAGAATCGACGAAAACAGTGGCACGCGGCTTACGAATCTCGAGGATCGTTGATGAGTTACCCTATTGAACGAAGTTAAGGTTAAACGAGCCAGGTATACCCTGTAACCAGTCCAGGGTATTTAGCAACCCCTCTGACGACAAATCATTCAATCCTTTGTGACGTTCGCGGTGAACCATACTATGTTAATCGCGCTACTATAGTTTCCTTTTCCATAGACTGAATATTTAAGGAAACTTGTGCATTAGTCGGGGGCTGTACTTGTTTGCGTTCGAGCGAGCTAGGATTACGTTTTTCAAAAAGTAGGTGTAAGAGATACGAGAGATCGGTGAGAGTCTTTTTCTTTCACGCGCAAGATCAAGACAACGTCCATTGGCTAAAAAGGGACAAAACGAATGATGGCATCGTTGTTCTATCTATCTTCCTTTTTGTGTGTCCATTTCTTTCTCTCTCACTCCACATCTGTCCTCCGCCACTCCTTTCGTTACTTCCATTTCTCATTCTCTTGCTCGCCACTAGCCTTTTCCCCCCTTTAAAATCGTATCGCGAAACGTTGAGACCATCGTCCTTGCGTATGTGGATAGTTGTATTCGAAGCTCCGGGGAATTTACGTGTCATGCCCCACCACGCTGACTTTTCACGGATTTTCACGTAGGTTTCTGCTATGGCGTAGTACCTCTCACTCGCTCTCTGACGTTTCTTCGCTTCTCTCGACGCCACCAACAGCTGTTTCGTCCGATCGTCGCCCTCTCGTATAGTTCGTGCCTCGCCATAAGAGTGAGAGAGAGAGAAAGTGAGTGGGAGAGTACAGACGGTGGCCCTACCGCAAGTTTTTCGTTGTCGATCTCAACCTCACGTATAAACTTGTCATTTTTACGTCCACCGTAGGGCGTACACGATCATTCTAATTGCCTGAAATCCGGAGCGTCCTTTGTTCGTTTAGCGTTCGTCTGACAGCTCCTGTCAAACGGACCTTCCTTTCCAACTGTTCGTCAAATCTGTCAGCTAAACAGTCACCGTTTCCTATTCTATTTTCTGCGAGAAAATATTTCGTTCCAATTTTTTCTGGTACGCGCTAATTCGAAAATAACCCTACACTTAGTCGGTGAAATACTTAATATGTTTCGTTGCCTCCTACGTTGCTAAGTCTTTTTCTTCGGAATTGACGTGGAATTACACGAAAACGGCTGCTAGCACTCGATGACACGTCTGACTCATAACGTTCTTACTATGTATATAACATTTTAATGTCCCATTATTTGTTTCAGATTGTGCAAGGATATTAGTGTATAAGAAGTTACAAGTACAGTCAATTACATAGCATCAAGGCATTGTGAAAACTTTGCACGTATGTACATTGAATTTATGTTAACCTTAATCATTTATGGTGGTGTTTTTCTATTAAAACATATGTTCTGTGCATTTCCAGTGTTACAGTGTATATTTTATTTGTTAATTAATTATCATAATTAAATATTATGGTAATTGATTGTTACATATTTTTATGTGTGTACGATCATCGAAGTATTGGATATTTTGTGTGAAACACTTTTTATTTATGTGCAGGACTTACAAATAGGAAAATCTTGGTAACTTACTGTATTGTGTGATATAAAAGCTAGAAACAAATATGTCAGTATTGAATCAAAGTGGAGAAGATGCAGTGGAATGTCCTTTGTGTATGGAACCATTGGAAGTGGATGATTTGAATTTTTTTCCATGCACTTGTGGATATCAAATATGTCGTTTTTGCTGGCACAGAATTCGTACCGATGAAAATGGTTTATGTCCTGCCTGTCGGAAGGCCTATTCTGAAAATCCTGCTGATTTTAAACCTCTTAGTATGGAAGAAATTGCAAGGTATGTAATGTGTATTACATAACAGCTATTATATTCACATCAGATATAATTAAATATATATGTACTTGCATATTTTTTTTTTTTGTTATTAGATTAAAAGCAGAAAAGAGATTAAAAGATCAGCAACGTAAGCAGAGGGTTACAGAAAATCGTAAACATCTAGCAAATGTGAGAGTAGTACAAAAAAATCTAGTATTTGTAGTAGGCTTACCATTGAGACTTGCAGATGCGGATGTAAGTAAATGTAAAAATAAATTAAATATTATACAGTTTTAAGAAAGTCTAATATTTTTATTATAATGGATTTACAGATATTAAAGCGGCATGAATATTTTGGAAAATTTGGCAAAATTCACAAAGTTGTAATAAATCAAAGCACTTCCTATGCAGGGTCTCAAGGGCCTAGTGCTTCAGCTTACGTTACTTATCAAGTAAGTTATTTATCTTTTCTTTTATTAAAAGTTTTACTTATTTTGTTGCATTTACATATGTTTTGTACTTTAAAATTCACGTAGCGTCAAGAAGATGCACTACGTGCTATAGAGGCTGTGAATAATGTTGTTATGGATGGGCGGACAATTAAAACGTCGCTAGGAACAACAAAGTACTGTTCACATTTTATGCGTAATCAGCCTTGCCCGAAACCGGATTGTATGTATTTGCATGATCTTGGGGACCAGGAGGCATCTTTTACAAAGGAAGAGATGCATCAAGGCAAACATCAAGAATATGAGCGCAAACTTGTGCAATCGTTACATGCATCACACGCGTCTGCACAACGGTACTCTATTTTTAATTTAGAATTAAGAAATTATACTTAAAATTTAAAAATTGTACAATTTATAAAACGATTACTGTTTCACAGAAAACCAACACCGTCACCATCTGTGACAGGCAGCATCGTTAGAGAGAATGGAACTTCAAATTCTCAAGCCAAAGAAGCTTGGCCATCGTTACAAACCGGACAGACAAATAGTAGGTTTTCCTTTCACAAAAATAATATCAAAATCTAGAAACCATACAAATGGAGATCCTTAATTAATTTATTTTTGTATTTCGAAGGTTCACAAACAAATTGTAAAGAATTATCACCGCCATCGCAAACAACATCACAACAAAACAACATAATAAACGGAAATGGTACAACAAATCAACAAAACCATGTGTCATCTGGTGGATCTACCCAACAACAGAACAATAATAATAAAGGTGAAAATATGAATATACGGAGAGGAAAAAGTAATAGTGAAAGTAAAGCACAGGCAGCGCGAAATAAACATAAAAATTGTCAAAATAAAGAAAAACATAGTACACGGACAACTTCCCGATCAGAATCTAGCTCTATTGGTTCGCAAAATAATGTTCAACCGCAAATTAATGGACAGAAAGATATTAGAAATTTTTCCTCTGAAACAAATAGTGATGTCATACAAAAATTGGGTAATAAGTGTAAATCGGAACAACAACAGCCACAACCGCAACAACAATCGCAGCAACCACCACTTCAGCAGCAACAATCACAGTCACAACATCAGCAACAGAATAGCAAGGGATCCAAATTAATTCAACAACAGCAACAACAATCTCAAGAACTCAAGGTAAATGGCGTAGTGCAAAATGGAGAGCGCCGGCATTCGGATAGTGAGACAGATCAACAACGCGAAGGTAGTACACCAGCTAGTACAATTTCGAGTACAGAAGATTCGAATGTGAATCATCAAGCGGAACATTTAGCAGAATCAAGTGAGGAGAACAATGGTGCTGCTATTTTGGGTAAGTTTCTTATATTCGTGATCATTTCTATATGTATTGATTTGTTGATCTTCAAATAAATACACAAAATAGTTAAACTTAACATAACATTAATTAAAGAAAGTGCAAATAAAAGAAAAAGAACAGAGGATTAAACAAAGTTTTCTATTTTAATTGCTACTATTAAAAATGTATATTAGAGTTTACAATGAAGTTTATAAAGCATTTATAGAATTACAGTTACACACTTTTTATTCTTTAAGTTTGACAAGATAGAAAATGTAGTCTAAATTTATTTATTTTGTAATAACTTTAAATAATGCTTGTTGATCAAATATTTTTTTTCATTACATTAACATGACATATGAAAAGTTCATAACAAGCTAATATTGTAGCTAATACTGTAGTATGTCATACAGAATATTTCTAATAAGTCACAAATCATTCTAAATGTGTGCCTATCTCATGTAACACTGTATGTTATACCTCAATCATATGAAACAATAACTTTCAAGCAATGTATAGTATATTGATGACATGGAAGTGTCTTAT